GGATGGCTTTGCTCCCTCTGATGGGAGCTGTGACTTCAATCCCCTCTGCCAAGGAGCAAAGGCAAAGCCTGCAGAGGGTGGTCACAGCTCCATGCTGTAACCGCTAAATATATAAATGCTTGGGTTCCCACTCTCAGCTTTCTATATCAGATTCCTGGGCTCATCCACATTGGCAGGATGATGTATCCGGTTGCAACTCACACTGGCAGAGGGCAGCTCAGTGCCAAAGGCCACTGTTCCCAGGGTGCTTGGCAACCTTGTCCCACTCTTAGCTCACATCACTGCCCTGTGGCCACTTCTGCCAGCCCAGGTCTGCTCTCACCTATTACTGTTATTAGAAAAGCACAACATAACTTGCTTGCCACAGCACCACCAGCAGCTGTACAGGGCAAAGAGGACCTCTTTTAAGTAGTGCCAACCCTTCTGCCGCTGTTTTGCTATACTGGATAATGGTTTTTCATTAAGAAATTGTCTATGCTGCATACAGCATTATGGTGTTCAAAACATCATGCAGCAGCAATGCTTCATAGGTCAGAGGCCATCAGGGACCAGGAAAATACTTTAGGTTCACAATTCTGGAAGTTACTAAATTTTAACAGCTGTATCAGAGAAACAAGGCTTGCAAGGGGAGATAGCATTTTTTATTAATCAGACTGCCACAGCTGGGAAAAAAGGGATACATTCTGGCACAGAAACCCTTCTGTTTAAAGGCACTGGCTCTACTCATCGGAGAGCTCTTTTCCCCAAGTGCACAAGTTTAAACCTTCATTCTGATTTTGCTGCTCTGAGGTGTTCTAGCACAAGAGAGTCAGCAGGTATGAGCTGAGAAACTGTCAAAATTAAAGGAACTAATAACAGCTGCATGTAACCACAAGTGATCTTCAGAGCTCCACCATTTAGACTACAGGGTACTTCTTTCCATGCTTCTCACCAGCCCCCCCATACAGCAGGCTTTTAAGAGCCAGTTACATTCCGACTGCCCTCCTGTCAAATCAGTGTCCAGTGTGTTGGCTAAGATCAGGGATCACAAACTGCCTCCTCTCTGGCAGGAAGACTTACCACTGTGGGTGTCCAGCACAGGAGCACTGGGCATGCTGGCACTGACTGCATTTGCTACAACATAGGAATTGCTGTTGACTGCAGTTGACCCAGTGCAGCATCTCCAACTTTGTTTAAAATAAGCACACATGCAGATGAAATTATCCCTGCTTTTCACAAGACAGACTAAAAATTCTATCTGTGCTTTGTGGAAGAGGATGGGAGTTTTACCAACTCTCTGAGAGACAACATTATGTGGGAAAGGGGAATTGATTTTTACTAACCTCTCTTCCACTGTCACGCTACTTTTCAATTTTCAGTGCAACCTCTGATATCAGATGCATTCTCAAGAGTCATGGGAATTGTCAGTGCAAATATATTTAGCCATATCCCTTTGGGTAGGTGGGGGAGGAAAGAGACCCCTAAATAGCTGTAAGATAACAATTACTGCAAACATATTTGCTTAGGGAAAGTTTAGTCAGAGTTCAGAAAGAAGTTCTTGGCAGCTGGATGGCCAACAGCCAGCTTCTCAAACTGTCCCTAAGAACCTTTAGTCTGTGAGGAGCATGATCAGAAGAGAAACGCCTCTGCTTTCCTTAAGTCTTCTCCACATGCTCTAAGCACTCCTCAGTGTAAAAGAAATGCTTAAATAAATGGCAAATTATTTAGCGATCTCTTCCCTTTAACAAAAACAAAAACAAAACCAAAAACAAACAAACAAACAAAACCAAACAAACAAACAAAAAAAAGTAAAATCCAAGCCCTGAATGATAGAACGCATGTTTTAAATAGGAAAAGGAAAATTCTCACTATTCACAATACTGCAAAGGAATCAGAAAGTTCACAGCTCTACTAAACGGGTAAAAATGCCCTGGCTTTCATTCAACTGCAGCGTTAGTGGGAGTGAGGAGAAGTCTCCCACACAGCCATAGGAGAAAACTGTGGGAGTCAGGGTGGAAAAGTAGCAGGGGGAGGATGTGAACACTGTTAAAAATAAAACTTACCAAACAACAATTGAATTGTGAGAATGTTATCTGGTTCAACAGGAGTGTGAAAACAAATAGGCATTTCAAGAAGAGGGCCACTAGCAAGGTAAATAACTTTCAAATAGCAGGATGTGACCAACGAAATGTACCAAACTGAGGACAACAAAAAAAGGTCTCCCCAGCAGCAGAAGACAGTGGTGGATATGGTCTTCAGTGTCACCTCTGTGCAGTGCCACTACCCTACGTCCAGCAGTGTGGCACTGCACCTATCCCTCACATCCCTGGCCATAGTAAGACACAAGACTGAAGAGATTTGCACAGGACAACGTTTAACATGACCCAGTGTTTATTGACTCCTGCTACAGTTTTTTTTTAATAGTAACAGGAACACAAAATGTGATGTATGGTAAAATACTACTAGGAGTTTCTATATGAATCCAATGCAAAGTGCCAGCATTGTTGACCAGCATACAACCTGACAAGAGAAGATGTAGTTATAACTCACTCTCAGATATCTGCTGGGAGTACATCACAAAGTAGAAGTAGTCATTTGCCTGCAAATAGATATTTTCTTCTAGATGCAAGTGGTGTTAGAGCCAGCTATTTTGCAACAACAAATACATATAATATATTCCAACATTTTAAAAAACACAATTGGAAAGGACTAAAACTGTTTAAAGATAGAAGGAAAAAAGAGTGGATCTTTTTAGTCACTACTTCGTAGAGGTCATTCCTCATAGAGTCAGAAGTAATCTAGAGAAAAAGATTTATTAGAGGCTACTTTGCTCAAAAGGCCAGTGGCTGCAGGTTTAGGAATAAAAATAATCTCTTGATTTTCAGCACTGTTTCCCGGCCTTTTTCCTCCCTGCACAACAAAAACCACCTGTCGAAAATTGTGGTTTGGTGGCTCTGCACATTTTTCCCATGCAACTGTATTTGAAAAGGCAACCGTATTTCTTAAGAGCCATGAAAAATTTGTATGACGTGCACATGTGGCATGAAATATCTTCCCAGATACAAATTATGAAGGCACATTTTCTAAAGGTTATGAAAAAAAAGCCCAGAACTTTTGGAGGATTAAACTTAAATGCCTTAGAGAAAACACTTTCCCAACTGGCTAACAAGTGCTGTTTGACCATATATGATTCAAACAGCTTACCATGAAGACAATACCCAAGGAAAGAGCCTCGTTGAAATGCCCTCCCCACTGTAGCAACCTGCTTCCCCCACAGTTCTTTAGTCAACTGCATTCTTACACAGCAGTTTGCAACAATTCCAGAGACAGGTAAGAGAAATCTATGTAGAAAACATCATACCTGGGTATTCCTACATGAGCAACACCCCATACCTCCCACCCCCAATTAAACTACAGTATCTTCAAGGAGATAATCCCACTCTTCTGGAAACAGGGTAAAAGTCCAAAACAGAGGACTGAGAAAATGGTTTTAAAATCCTGTTCCCTCAACTTTTTTGCACTTGATTATGTGTGTTAATAAAGACAGGGCTCTCTGACACAGAATAATCATTCTGTCTTCTATCTAGATGAGGAAAATATTGGCTAAAAATGAAAACATGTACTTTATTTACAATAAATGGAATCATACGGCTCCATGCTCCATCCACCACCCATGTGTTGCTGACCACTGCAGAAAACAGGTGGTAACAACATTGGTAACTAAAGTACTTCCCTTTTTCAAACTTTAAACAAAAGCCTTTCCCCTCCCATCACGTTGGGTTTTTCACTGTTCCAGGCTCCAGTAAGATGTGTACTAACATCTCTTATTAGTGCATTTTTAAAGTTACAGTTACTAGAGGCAAAGCAATACTTGCTCTGCTCTGTTTTAGCTGGTTTTACTCCTTTTAAAATCATGCAGGAGTTTAAAATTTACATAACATTATCAACTTTGCATAGTAATACAACAGGTGGTGTTCCACCACCTTTTCTAAATAAGGGCCCCCTTTTTCAACACCTCACATGTTTCGAAGGATTACCTCTCACTCTCAAGGAAGAGCCCTAACTTTCTCCTCCCACATGGGCATTGCAGAATGAGAATTAAGTTATCATTAAGTTTCCTTCAAATTTATGGTGTGTTACTTAGAAGCAACTATAGAGGAATAATGTTTTTCATAACATTAAAGGACATTTATCAGATTATTTGTTGTTTTCTGGTCTTGAGTTGTAAGAATATTTGTCACACATGTTCCCTCATACTCCTCTCTTAAGGTGCAGAGTGGTCAGGCCTATAAGACCATAGCTGGATCTCTGGGAGAAGCCAGAGAGAATGAGGGGTTTCTTAGCACTACTGTATTTACATTCAGCATTCAAGGACAGGCTGAAGAATGCCCAGTTTATTTTCTTTTTTAAGACATAAAACTGCTTTAAAAAATACTCCTTTTATATTATAATTTTTTAAGTTATGAAAGTTATTTTTTTTCTGTCCTATGCAGCTGTTACCCTTCTGCCGCTGACATTTAATAGTTGCCATTGCACGCTACTTTTCCATTCCCTAGCTCAAGTGCAACAGAGCTGGCCTGCAGACCCATCACTAGCATGACAGCCTGGCACAGTGTGGTGAACCAGTGCAGGGGCCAGTGGTCCAGACAGACGACCCTCACCACTGTGGGCAGGTGGCACGGGAAAATATGGGACACGGAAGGGGGCATCTATTTGGAACATTTAATAGGGTGTGACATACACGCTGACAACATGAGATAAAAATGAATGCAAGTGAGTATATTAAGTTGAGAACAGTTAGTGTGAGTGATAAATACACCCACCACCAGCTCCCAGCTTCACTAAGAGCTATTCTGAACTGCACAGAACGTGCTGGTTGTAGAAGCTTAGACAGATTGGAGATAGCTGACCAGTTACTCATTGAGTCTATTGTTTAAAAAAATAATGGAGAAAAAAATGTGTGCTTTGCCATTGAATAACTGATCCCACAGCTTGGGCACAACAGTAATAGTTACCTGGAATAACAGACCAACTGAAACGTAATTGCTGTTTCATTCAAATTACACATGCATGCAAAATTAAACAAGTGTGTTAACTAAGAATAATCAACATAAAAATCAAGTCTAAGTTACCCATTATTTATCATATATTTGTCAGACTGTCAGATATCTCTTTTCCTTTCAGATTCATATCTGTGTCATACAGAACATAACAGATGGAGAAGTCACAAAGCAAACCCTAAACTCTGCACATCACTGGCCTTTAGTGCCAAAGTATTATGTGCCATAAGCCTTCCAAGTTTACCAGACTTTAGGGAGAAAACAGCTGCTGTACCCAACTGTGAAAATAGAAAATGTAGAACCCATCCTGCTCAGAACAGAAAGGAAATGGTTTTACAAAGTTGTGAACAGATACATAACTACTAACCCCTCAGTCCTGAGACAGAAAGGGCAGTGCAACTAGTGCAACTAGCTAGAACTTGCTTCTTGAAAAGCAAACAAAATCCAGGAAATGCAATGATTGTGTAGACAAAAATCTGTTTGGAAAGTTATGCTATCAAAGAGCTGAACCAATGTTCTGCAAAGTGATGAACAGTACATCAACAGGTCCACTTGAGACAGACCATGAGATGACACTCTACAAATCTGTGAAATATCCAATTTAGTTTCACATGTCCAATATATCTCCGTGCCTATTAGCAGTCTGCCACAGATTTTAAACTTACAAAGCTCCTTCCCATTGAGCTAGACTTTTTCTTTACCATAAAGTGCAAATAAGACTCAGGTTTTTACCACTAGTTTCAATGATCATTATCTTAGTTACAAGAGTGATCAAAAGCCAGTTGGCTTAGCCACTACTACTAGGCTTAGTGATACTCTTTTTTTTTTAACCCTGGTTACTTTTTCCAGCAAAAGGCAAAGAGAAAACAAGTGTTCCTTTTGCCAGATGCAGCATGACAGGAGGCTGCCTTAAGTACCATCAGTATAAGATGCACATGCTAGACACAATCAGTACGTTCTTGTGCATAATAATGATTTGCCATTGTTTGCTGGAAATGGAAGTCATCTTTGGGATCTTATTTCCTCACAAAGAGTTCAGAAACAGTTCATTAGTCTTCATTAAGAGGTGCTTCTCTCTTCCTTGCATCTACATCAAAAAAAAAAAAGAAAAAAGTGAGAAGCAGTTAAACCAGGGGGTTCTGACAGTACTCATCTGAAAACTCAGAAACAAGTTGGTTTGTTTTCAATGGACAATACTTTCCATTTCAGAATTGTGATATGAATCCACTATGTGGCCTGAAATGCTGTATGACACCACAGCATGTTAATGAAACAGTCACACCAAGATTTTGTACCTTTGTCCCACTGAAACTGAAGATGACCCATACAGTATTTAAGAAGCCCAATAAACTTTCAGACTCCAGATTAGTGATACTTCCTCCCCCCACTTCTTGGCTCACAATCCCCTTTAAGGGTGAAGCCAGTATTTGCTTTGCATATAAGTACAGAGATGACAACAGTCTGTTCTGGAAATCATTCAACTAATTACAACTTTGCTGAACCCAGCTGCACATGTTTTCAAAACGACAAGTGCTCTCCACACTGTATTTTGAGGAACTGCCTGAGGCAGCCCCTGAAGACCAAATGTTACACTGCTCCAAACAGCAAACCTTTGATCATGGTCCCAGGTATGGTGCTGGGACACATCTGGGCAACTCAGTCCATGACTCATATGCCATTACTACACTAGCAGGTAGTGTGGCTGCCACTAGAAAGCTGGGGTCATCTCTTTGTGGGCTTCTGCCGAAGTGTCTGTGGGCTGACTTGAAGCTACTAGGTAGCTCTTGAAGTGCACCATGATCACAGCTACTCCAGTACTGCCTGCCAAAAGATGCACTTACATGTATTTCTAAACTTGGTTTCTTTCCAGCTCATAATCTATACGTTCCAAGGTCACTATAAATTTTTCCACTTAGAAATATACCTCCTAAATAACAAAAGATGATCTGACTCTATGAGTAGAACCTTGGGTTGGAAAAAAATCTCAGTCATTTGCTGGGAGAAAAATCAGAAACTGTCTCTCCTATTTTCCCCATCAACAGGGATACTAGGGCCAGGCCTAAATCTTCTTCTGCCACAGCTTCTCCAATTTGCATAAAATAACTCACTACTGATTAGAGGTGAAAAAGCTTTCTGAAAATGCATTATATACCCCTCTAGCTACAGAATCATTCCTGGTCTGTGTCTGACTTTGGAAATATCAAAATGCATTAAATTCTTTCTGGTGAACATTTATTAAAAAAAAAAAAATCATACCTGTTAAGCTCCTGAACTTTTTTTTGGCTTCTGCTCTTTCTTCGGCATCAAAATACCACACAGTCATGGCATATCTGTAAAAGAAAGAAATCTTGTGTTTGTTTCAACTTTTGCTATTAAAATAGAACTCTGGAGTTTTATGCCCATGGAGAAAGCAAAAAACAAAACTGGATTAGCAGATAAAAAAATAGGATGAAAATGGTTCATCTTTATAGACAAATACAGACAGCATTTTAGCATGTATTTTATCAAGTCAAATAGAAACATAGGTGAGAATTTCTGCTTGGGGGCACAACAGAGAGCACAGCCCCTGGTAACAGAGGGCAAAAGTAGCTTTCAGGCCTTTGCATGTTTTTCTGCTCTGGGACGCCTGTAGGCAGCTTGGGGGTTGCCCTGCATCACATCAGCTTTTCATAGCCTGCTGACAGATGGTAGTCCCAACAATCCCGATAGTATTACAAGGGCAAAAGAATAACCCAGCACTTCCCAGCTAAATAGCTATGCCTGCTTCGAAGATTTCTCCTGTCAATGGTTAAAGGCCTTTTTTTCCATCACACAAGGAAACTTACCATTCAAGCTTGCTCTTCCTTATTTAATGAGAGAATTCCTAGTGACTAACCAGAAAATTCACTCAAAACCTATTTTTTATGCACGTGTATTTAAACATGATGGCCATAATGTTAGATACAAATATTGGTAGAAGAGCTGCTTTGGTGTTTTTCCTAGCCAAATACCAATACCAAATATGCTACTTACCTGGTTGCATAAGAAGGCTGGACTTCATGTGGGTTCCTTCTATCTGACCAAAAAAAAAGTAATCGGTCAAAAATCGGCTCAACATCTGCTACATAGGACTTTCCTTCTGGGAATATTCGAAGAATTCCACCATGCAGCTGAAAGAAAAGGAAAGATTGCTTTTTACATATATAAACATCCATACATTCATGGGAACCATAACTTATTTCTCCCTCCTCAACACCTAACAAATGAGGAATAAACATCTAATGATAACCAAGACAGCTATGTGGCAAAACCTTACTGAATCTCCTGGCCACCTTAATTTTCCCAAACAGCTTGTAATGCTTCAGCATAACCTTCTATCTAAAGTAAATGGAACCAAGATAAAGATGACGCTAGCCCTGTAGCAAACACTGGGAAACTTCTGAGCTCCCAGTCACATTTCTAGAAACAGTGAATACCACAGAGCTGCTCCACCTGATCAGCCTGAATTCAAACTCTCCTCCCAGCAATTGGTAGACACTGCTTATAGTGTTTCAGTGCCTACATCTGATAATATATGAATTAACTTTTATGCCCTGAGAAGACTGAAGTCTGTTCTATTGTTAGATTTGTAAAGCTTCCCCTTAATACATTATAGCTCCCAGTCATCATTGTCCCTACTTAGACATAGCCTCGTTTCTCTCCCATATAATTTCTGCCTTTCCGTGTGCCACAATATTTAGGGAAAAGGTCTGATGATCTGCACGCACTGTGGAAACTTCAAAAGATGAAGATGAACCCTGCCTCATCCCTGTTGCTGTTAGAGGGTTCTTTGGAGGTTTTTATGATGCACCAGAGTACAGCGAAGATGCTGTCAACCCAGCACTGACCCAACGTAGTACCTCTATGCGGCATGCAGAGCTCAGTGAGAAACTACTAGGTCAGGTTTAAAGCCACAGTTGCTTTCAAAGCCCAGTACAGTTATACTGTTATATTGCATCTCCTCCAGCATACACTTACATAAAATTACTGTCACACCTACCTAATGAACTCCATCAGTGTCCTGGATTTCAGTTAGCTTTTCTTAGTGCCCACTCAGGTGCTTCCTCACTATCTGAGTAAGAGTGCAGTGCACAAAATAAATTGGATATTTGCATTTCCTCCCACATCTCCTCCTTTATTTTATTACATTGAGATGTTTCACTTTCATACTCTCTGTAAAGGGATGTGTTTTTCTGCAACAGTGCATTTTTCAATGGCATCATCTCTATACCTGAACTCCCTTATGGGGGTTCATAGTATTTACATGTGCTTAAAGAGCATCTTGGCCTGAAAACGGGTTAGAGAAGCAAAAAACACTGGACAATTTTCAGTAGATCAGCCACGTGAATGGTTTGTGCTGCATTATGACAACAGAATTGTAAAGAGACATCCTGCAGTTTTACAAACCCTTCTTTTGTTCCTAACTTAAAGGTACGGTACATTCAAGGCTGACTTAACTGTCTTAGTAATATAGGCAGAAACTAGAGCTCTGTGCTGTCAAGAGACCCACTGGTAGAATCAAAGCCAGAGAGCATGAACCAAACCATGTGTTTATTCCTCTTACTAAGCCCCACTGCTTCCTAAAGAAAACCACAAAGGGAACTGTCTGAAGATGTTCCGCGGGTTAGCCTGAAGTATCAAGAATGATAAAGGCACAAATTTGGACTGTCATTTTACTCTGCTCCCAGAATCCACTTATTCTTTAGTGGATTGTTTTTCTTTCTAGTGCTGTTTCCTCTAAATAAAGTGTTAAGAGCACACAGCCCAGTGCTTAGAAGCTTTATTTTATAGCAACAAAACAGTATGTGTGTATGATGGGAGAGAGAATGGTAAGGAAACGGTTCAGCTTTTTACTTCCAAAGGGTTGCCATAAACACCAAGAAAAAAAAATGGAGAGATGAAGAATAGATCAGCTGTTCAGAAGCTCAGAGTTCACAGAAACAAACCAACAGCTCCAAAGCTCTGTTTCTGAAGTAGTTTTTCTTTCATGTTCTGCCTCAAACCTGTGGCTTACTCACCTTGGAGTCCCAATTCTTATTCAGGTAATAAATACAGGTGATGCAGCGCCCGTCACCATTTGGATTGTCCACATGACGAACATAACCAGTTCCATTTCCAGGATAGCAAGCAACCATAGCCTGTAAGATACAGATTGTAAAATAATTAATCCTACAAGATGCCTAACTTCAGTTTTAATTTTCTAAGCATCCTCCCATCACCAGTTTGGTTCAGTATTTTTCAGCTTATCAATCCAAAACCTGCAGCAGACACCACCAGAAGGTATATTTGCACAAACTTCTTTCACAGGAGAGGTTAGCCAGAATGAAATTCCAAACTGGAAAATAAATACCCTTCATAATTCACAATATATACACTAAGGTAGAAAAAAATTGAACTAAACTAAAGCACTAATATGTGTGGTACAAGTTTGTCATCTACAAGCTACGTGACTTTGAAGGAGTTTCAGCTGAAGTTTGCTTAGGTTTCTAAAGATAAGCAGTCCTTGCAAAATTGATTTGCCAGTCATAATGAAAGTAGAAAGCAATCCGAGCACGTCATGCCTTACTACCATCATCCTCCTCTGTTCATATCTTCCAGTCACTGTCATAGACCCCTAAGTCCAACACAAAGTAAGGGTTCCCAGGAAGTGTGGGTAAAAGTCCACAGAGCAAAGTCTGCAAAAAACTGCAGCTCCTTTGTGCTGTGTTTGTACAGGGCAGGGCATGTTTGCTTTCATGGACTGAGCCACAGAACTAACCAAACAGCTTTCAGAGCATACTTCTCTCTTTGATCATCTTCAGACTTGCTGATACAATCGCTTAATTCACGGTTTAAATTTCACGTTGAATGATGAGATAAGCCTAACATGAATTACTCCAAACCACATGACAGTCAACGTCTTATAAGGCTTTTTACAGCAAAGATGTTGACATCATTAGCAGCCTAAGCAGAATGCAGGGAAGAGCAGGTGAGACTGTTGGTAAGGTATAGATCTTTGTCTCAGAGTCAAGTCTTCACTATTGGGGCTACTTGGTAGTAATACCAATCAACATTAAAGTTGTTGCAAAGTTGTCTTGTTCCCAGTCCTCTGACATTTCCTTTCATTGCCTGCCAGTAGTAGCAGCAAGAGTGATGGGAGATGATGAACTAAGTTTGGTTGGAAAGCTGCACACAGTATCCAGATGTGGTTTCTCCAGAGATGAGAGGGCAATAATCACTCCCCTCAATCTATGTGCTGTGCTTCTGTAAATAGTGCCCTGGAGCCTCTTGTGCAGGAAGCACGCTGCAGGCTCATGTTCAGTTCACTTTCCACCAAGACCACCTGAGTGTTCCCAGGCTCCCCGGGGTGGGGAGAGCAGAGCTGATCAGAGCTGCTGGCAGCCCCCAGCCTGCTGCAAGGCACTCTTCCTTCCCAGGAGCAGGACTTGTGTTTGCCCATATTTATTTCCATAAGGTTCCTGTTGGCCTGTTCCCTGAGTCCATCTGGGACCCTTTGGCTGCAGCCCTGCCCTCGAGGCCATCAACTGGCCCCCTCAGTTTGGGGTCTTCTGCACACTTGAAGAGAGGGCACTCTACCATCTGCTTCAGGTTACTGATAAATAAGAGTGGTTAACATGATAGGTCCCATGATAGATCCCTGTGGTGCTCCATTTGTTACCAGCCTCCAGGTATAATATGACTGATTGACCACAACCCTCCAAATCCAACCATCCAACCAGTTTTTTGCCCATCTAGTTTTCCATCCATTCAGACCATAACATCCTACCTTCAGATGCAAGAGTATTGTCCATGCCTGCCCCCCAGGACAAGGATATGACTGTGTACCATTTGTATGACCTGCTCCAATGATCTGCCATGCACAGTTGATAGCGTTGGAGATTGACAGTACAGCCTTTACTAAGACCAGTTGAAATTTTTATCTAAGAACCCCAGAAGTCTTGTTTTCCTCTTCCAAGCACATGCTAAAGCCATGCTGTTCTCATGGGGCACATGACCAGCTAGAGTATAGCACATGGTGCTTTAATCACCAAGGTAATCACCATGCCAACAAACACCAGCGCAGAAGCTATTGCCAGCCAGCACAGAGGATCCCTTGAACCCCCGGCTACCAAGAACAAAATCTATCCACAGGAGTCAGCATGTATGAATTAACTTTCCTTCCTCCCCACAAGCACCAGAACAGTACCTGCAGGCAGAAGTAAGTCACCAGGACCTGTTCTTCACCTTGACACCTCAAGCCACAGATGCCTAGAGACTGGTGGCCTACAGAGGCAGGAGATTATGCTAAACAAGAGCAAATACCTTTAATTCCAAGTAATAAGCTCTCTTCCATCACACCTGGCAGTTGGCTAGATGTTTTGCTGTAGACCCTGTCTGCTCTGTTGTCATTCTGCCATTATATATGGCTTCACAGCTGCATCTGCATTTCACTATCAGCCTGATAACAGCAGTAAGGGTCAGCCTACAGCCAGTGTTGGAAACAAGTCTGTTAGAAGCAGAAGTCTGGCGGAAACCGCAAGTCAGCTGTATCTGCAACGTAAAAATGGTCTGAGGGAGCTGTGCCCTCACTGGTGAGGATAACCCACCTCACACATCCCTCCCCCCATCCCAGCTGCTAGCACAGCAACTCATGCAGGTGCACTCTTCACCCATCCCATGCACAGCGAGCTGAATTAGATCTAACAATTAAAATAGTAACCTTTTGCGAAACTGGATCCTCATACACTGGGAAACACAACCTTGGTGCCCAGCAAAGCTGCTCCATCATTCCCCTCTTCAACTGAGCAGGGGCAAGAAAAATGTAATGAAAGGCTCACAGGTCAAGATAAGGACAGGGAGAGATCGCCCATCAGTTACTGTCACAGGCAGAACAGACTTGACCTGGGGAAACTAGTTTAATTTATTGCCAATCAAATCAGAGTAGGAAAATGAGAAATAAAACCAAACCTTAAAACACCTTCCCTCTACCCCTCCCTTCTTCCTGAGATGAGCTTCATTTCCAAGTTCTCTATTTGGTCAGCAGTAGGTCCACCTTGTAGCCAGCTGGCATTGGCTCTGTTGGACATGGGGGAAGGCTTCTAGCAGCTTCTCACAAAAGTCACCCTGGTAGCACCACCAGCTACCAAAACCTTGCCCTGCAAACCCAACATATCCTGGGAGCTGAGAGTGCAAAGGAGAAGGGGCAGCGATTCCAACAGACAGGCAGGGAGGAGGGCTGTGCCAGGGGAACTGGGTGCTCATCTCTACCACAGGCACAGCTGCTTCCAAAGGGGATGTGCAGCTACACTACCAGTGTGAGCTCGGCAGAGCTCTGCTAACCATACCAGAGGGATGACACAAGATGGGAACAAAACTTTGTTGACTGATAATACCTCGTTTTTAAGTCGATGTACAACACAAAATTATGAAGACCTTAAGTCTCTCTTTGGAGAGTAGATATTATTCCAAGATTACTGAACTGCCTAAAAAATTAATTCAATATTACTACTCTTTTTTAATGTCACAATCAAAAAGCTGCTGAACAACAACAGACTGCAGGCCAGATCCTTAAAGGGATTCAGGTGCTTTACTTACTATGGAAATCTGGGCAGAAGGCCAGCGTTTTCCCCAGCCTCCCCCACATAATATGTTCTCTTACCAGAACGTGTGCTTTGTCTCTGAGACACTGATGCATTATTTATTTATTTATTTATTTACAGTGTGCACCTTTTGCAATTGCAACACTGATTCCCTGGAGATGAAGTGGAACAATTTCCACAGAATTCTAAAGCACTGGCCACACTCTAGCTTAACTTTCAGAAAAGAAAAGAGAAAAAAGTTTTTTAGTAGCAGCAGCAAAAGGAGAAAAGCAGAAGTGAAATATCCTTTTCCTGGCACAGTGAATATTTGAATGAAACCTTAAACAATGAAGGGAAATCATTCTGGTCCTCCTAGATGAAATGATATCAAGCTTTATCAGAGCACTGGCTGGAGCAGCTCCAGAGCAGATCAAGCTGGCCTCAGCAGGGATTCCAGCTGTTAGCACTACTTTTGGATTCATTCGAAGCAAACAAGAAACAGGAGATGAGATGCATGACCCAGACTTAATTTAGGTAATTGGTGAACAATGTTATTTGCCAGTTTAGTGCACAGTCTAGCTACAAAAGCCAGATGCTCCATCACAATAATCAAACCATTTACCAGGTGCACATACGGAATGTGAGTAAAAAATGTTTCCTATACTTTTGGCTATTGTGTCCAGAAGAGCACACTCCAAATTTTTGGATACAACTCCTTCCTTCATTAACCAACTCCAAACCTAAACTAACTACAGCAGGCTGTAATGAGCAGGAACATACCTAACTTTTTTTTTCCCAATACAATCCATTACAATGACTGTTAGTTGGCTTAACTTCCTAGTGTAAGCACTCAGAAAATTTCAGCAACACTACCCTTTTCTAAGTTAAAATAGAAAGGTTGGTCTTACTGAACAGTTATAAATTCTGATATACAGATGCATGCCTTTCCAGTCACACATACACACACCATCATATGAAGACCAACGCTCTGTTAGTCTAATCAACAGTTATAAATTAGAAACTACAAAACTTGGAAAATGAAAAGCAAATCATTAAGACTTAAGTTTCTGCACTGTCATTTTCAGGAATGTTAGCTTTCCCAAGAGGGTGCAAATCAATCACAAGTTAAACAAGCGGCAATTACCAGCTTTAGTAAGGGCCCAGGAATCATCAGTAAATTCCACATTGCACAGAAGCTTGCAAAAATGTTATTCATCACTCAGGTTAAGTATTACACTCAAGTCAGCCAGAGAAATCTACAAGTCAAACTGCAAGACACCAGCAAAGTTTGGAGGCAGATAATAAACAACTGTTCCATAGAGAGGATTTTTCCCTGCCTCCCAGTGCTTCTAGCAAGAAGAAAAACAAATTCTCTTAGCTGATGGCCAGGATCATGCTGTGAGACATGATTCTGCTACGTTTCACAAAATAAGCAGTGCTAGAGCAGCCTGACACTTGGAACAAAACATTTCAGAAAATACCTCAGCTAGAAGATGCTAACACTGCTTAATAAGAAGCAGTGATCACACCAGGTCAGAAGGAGAAGCTCTCTGTACCTCCTACCACTAAGCTAGGGCCTC